TGGCTGGCACGAGATGAGATCTATCGTGAGTGCGAGGCATCAGGATTTAGAGGAAGTGAAGCCAACATTTAAGGCTTGTTTGGTGGGGTTTAAGCCACCCTAAAGCTCAGGATCCTCACCGTGGCCGCGGCCATTGCTGTCGTCGTCCTGGTCGGCACGGCCTCAGCAGCTGAGGGACCGGCCGGCGCCCGTTCCGACGTTCAGCGCGTCCATGACCGGGCGGGCTGTTGCCGCTGCATTCTTGATTGCGCTTATCTTCGGCTATCTCTTCATCCTCAACCGCGCACACCGCGTTGTGCCAATTTGTTTGCCTGCTTAGATTTTTCTTCCTTTGTTCTCATGTTTTGGTGTGCATGGGTATGTAATTACGTGTTCATTTTTCTATTATAATAATTATGAATCTTGTAATTAGTACATGGATATATGTATAGAGAGCGGCAGTTTGGTTGTTTACACTGTTGAGAAATGTTACTTGGATTACACTCTTGGATTCAAGTCTTAGAATTTTCACTCTTTATTATGGCAAAGCCAGCAGCTCGTATAGCAATAGTTGGCAACTTGGCATTGACAACAAACGCCTCCGGAAATAAAAGACCTATGTTAGTCAATGACAGCCGGCAGCCGCCTAGCTTGCAGGAAGTCACATTATCCACGACTATTCATCTTCGGTGGTTTATACATATGTTTAGTTTCTTTTATCAAAACTTGCATAATATCACCCTAATCAATTGAGTCGTCCTTAGTATTTCGCGACTTTAATTTGTTTCATCCCAAGGTTCACCAGATACCTTTATCGTTCGATCTTGCAAGCATCGAACACACCATGTGCAGACATCAATAATTGAGTGATTCCCATTGAATATAGCTGGTACAAGATGGCGTGATGATAAGCGCGTGTTTAGTTGGGCCCCAAATTCCAAAAAGTTGCTACAGTATCTGTTACATCGAATGTTTGCGGCCTATGCATGGGGCATTAAATGTAGACGAAAAAAAACTAATTGCACAGTTTGGTGGGAAATTACGAGACGAACGTTTTGAGCCTAATTAGTCCATGTTTGAACACTAATTGCCAAATAAAAATGAACGTGCTGCAGTAGCCCCAAATTCCAAGTTCGTGGAACTAAACACGCGCTAAAATAAAATTGCCTACCTATTAGTGAAATACTGAAATACTAGTAGCTAAGTTCTTATATATTCATGGCATTCACATCTCGTGCATATATATAGGTACACATGACTGGCTGAATTGGCTTCTTATCATCATGTCCATTGTAGCTCCCCACTTCTATTTGGTACCTACGAAGGAGGGTGACAACTGACAAGAGAAGTTCGACAGTTTAGCTTTGGCTGGCACGAGATGAGATCTGTTGGGAGTGCGAGGCATCAGAAATTAGAGGAAGTGAAGCCAACATTTAAGGCTTGTTTGGTGGGCTGGGTTTAGGAGGCTCTAGCACAATATCAAGCACTATGAGCGCTCTTCCCGGATGTCGGTAAGGTATCGTGCAAGTAGCAACGGGGACACAAGCCCACTTCTTGGTTGTGTCGCTTCCCATTTCTCGGTCATCTACCTTTTGTGTAATATCAAAACTTGAACCTATATGCTAGGACGGTGTGTCCTATAATCTTGTAGACCTCCTAAAATGCTCGCTAGAAGTGCGTCTTTTGTATGGCCTAACTTTTCTACCTTAATTACAAGGATGCGCAAATCGTTTGTGTATTCGAGAAAAAAGCTCACATTAGAAAGCCCATAACACATTGCTTCACCGTTTCCTCCCTTACTAAAATTTAGTTTATTTTAAGCTGTTATGATAAATAATAGTGGTACTACAATGGAATTACATGTGGAGCCGTCGCTTTTGAGCTACGTCTAAGAGGCTGTCAGATACATGCCAGTGTTACACTCTAGGGATTGTGACATTAGAGGACAAAATCATTGAGAAAGAACATATAAGATATTTTTGTTTACGGCATACTTTAAGCCACCGCTCAAAAAATGAGGACGTCAGTCTCAACAGTATAACGTTTGAATTTATTTGGGGGAAATTGGATAGTTAGTGTGCTCCTTAGGGATTTTTCTAAACTTGTGTATCACACCTTGGGTCAAAACGAACACGAATAACTTTTGTTTTTCATACATAGACTTGCTAGGCGCAATAGAAAACAAAGATATGTTTTTTTTGGAAAGGGTAAAAATTTTAGGGGCTTTGGCGTTCATGCCCTTGCTTTGAATGGAGATGGCGATTTTACTCTCTTTTTTAAACTTTGTGATTTTACCTCTACGTTTTCAAATTAAACCGAATGAAGAGCTTGCCTTCGGTGAAGTTCTCTGAACGATGTTAACTTTTGGATGACAAGTTTGCCTATGTAATTTTGCCCCTATTTTGTTAGAGGTCTTTGAGATTTTACCTCTATTTTGAGATCAAAGGTTTAGATATTTTGACAGATTTGGTAGGGATTTGGGTAGCTAAATTTGAAACAATTTGCACTAATTATTTTTAAACCAGAACGTCCATTTTTCACCTTTGGACCAATTACTTCAAATTTTACAGCTGCAATGCAAACAAGTTGTGAAGATGCATCATGGAGCACACAAATTGCACAAATGAAAACGGTAATTACAGGAACAACCGACGGCATCTAAAGAACATTTTTTCCTGTAATTGACGAGCAAGAACACTTCTTTTCCACCAATGCTAAACAAATAACTAGCACTTCCACGAATGCCAAACACCCCCTAAGCATAGAAAATATAAGAACAAAAATGTAAAGATAAGATGAGAACGCTAAACAAACAACTAGCTCTTCGGTTGCCTCTTCTAAACACCATGGACATGCACTCGTACATCGTGTTTGTGCCAAATTGTTTGCCTGCTCAGAATTTTTCTTATTATTCTGTTTTTCCTCATGTTTTGGTGTGTATGGGTATGTAACATGTTCATTTTTTAAACATGAATCTTGTAATTAGTACATGGATGTATATAATATATGTATAGGGAGCTGCGTTTGGTTCTTTTTACACTCTTGAGAAATGCTAATTGGATTATTGTAATCCGATTCTGGCTATAACCTCTTCCTAGGGCAAGAGTCCTAGGTTTTGGCAAAGCCAATGATTGTCTTCATCCTATTCCTCCTGCAATGTTCAGCAGCTCGTACGTCCAACCTGCAGGAAGTCACATTGTTACATGGTCCATGACTATGCATCTTTGATTATTTATGCACTTGTACATGTTTAATTTCTCTTATTGAAACTAGCAGAATATCATCCTAATCAATTGAATCGTCCATAGTATCTTGTGACTTTAATTGGTTTCATCCCAAGGTTTACCACATACGTTTATCATTCGATCCTACAAGCACCCAAGACACCATATGAAAACATTAATAATCGATTGATTCCCATTGAATATAGCTGGTACTCGATGACATGATAAAATAGATTGCCTACCCACTAGTGAAATACTAAAATACTAGTACTTAAGTTCTCGTACATTCATAGCATTCACATGCTCGTGCATATATATGTACACATGACTGTGGCTGAATAAGCTTCTTAGTCATCATGTCCATATTGTATCTCACCACTTTTATTTGCTACATACGGAGGGTGACAACTGACAATAGGAGTCTAGTAGTCTCGCTCAAGCAGTCATGAGACGAGATCTGTTGCGAGTGAAACGAGAGGAAGTGAAGCCATGTTTGGTGGGGAGGGTGACAACATGTAAGACTTGTTTGGTGGGGTTTACGAGGCTCCTGCTTCTGCTTTGGTTCCTGCTCAAGGAGCCGGTGAAGCCCATATAATTGAATCATGTTGAGGACAGTCTGTTCCCGGTTGGCTGGTTCGTTTCGTTGCTGGTTTGTGAAGAAGTACTGCTGGCTGGTTTGTGTGAGAGAAAAATACTGTTCCGGCTGAAAATTTACGATCGTTTACGACAAGCCACAGCCAAACAAACGAACAGGCTCTGGCTCCCGATTGCCAACCGCTGTCCCTTTGACCAAGACGGTGCACGTGGTCACCAAGCGCTCCCACGCGTCCACGATGTGCACTGCGGCACTAGTCTAGGATCGGTTGCTGCTCCCTGCGTGCACAGACAACCGCTGTTGTAATCTATAAAACATTCATTTGAGATCAATGCACAAGGTGTTGGCTCCCATTCTCTTCATGGTATCAGTAAGCGCAGCTTGATCCTGCCTCCCTACTCGCCGCTCCTTGCTGCTCGCTGCTTGCCATTTCCGCTGCCATGGATGTCAACCCACTGTTCGAGCTCGACGTTTCCTCTGTCGACTCTTCTCTTGAGTCCTCCATCGATGGCGACGCTCCCGCCGCCATGCCTCCTCTCATTGCTGTTCTTCAAATGGTGAACATCAAGTCCCATGTTCCCGTTGTCCTCGAGCTCACCGAGCCCAACTACGACGAATGGCGCTGCTTCTTCAACGCCTTCATCGGCAAGTTCGGCCTCGGCTCCCACCTTTCCTCCCTGCCGACTCCAAACCAACGCCGTGATCCAAAATGGCGCATGGTCGCATCCTCAGCTGGCTGTACAACTCTGCCTCCAAGGACGTTCTCGCCATTGTCCGTGTTAGTTAAGTCTTGCGCCTGTAAGTTAGATAGGCTTGCATGTTTACTTTCTGTTATGCATGCGCACGAGCACCGCCATTCTGTGGTCGCCGTGCGTGTAGGGGAAGTGGCCGAGAATAGCTCGCCATGATCCGAGTGATCGGGAGTGGGCGATGTCGCACGCGTGGGGATGGACGCGCTACCAGGCGACGTGCGGTCGGCCTCCGAGAGCTCTACTCTCTCTGTATTTTTCATACAATAAAAGGAGAACTCAAGATCAGAAAATGCTGCACTTTTTGGCAGCACCAAATTCATTGTCCTTCGTTCCAAGTGTTTGCGTGTGTGGGTGTGCAGTTCATCTTCTCCGGCGAGACTAAGAGTTCACCGGCGTCGTTCATCGCCGCCCGGGCCTAGCAGTCCACGCTCCGAAGGCCACGACGCTGCAATGACCAGGGACGTTCTCGCTGCACTCGCAAGCAATCCATTTCGTCATTCCAATAAGATCGAGAAGCAAATGGCGGCGACTCTGAAGCTCAGGATCCTCACCGTAGCCGCGGCGGCCGCCGCCGTCGCCTCATCACTGGTTGGCACGGCCTCAGCGGCTGAGGGACCGGCGCCCGCTCCGATGTCCGGCGCGTCCATGTTCGCGCCGGCTCTTGCCGCTACGTCCTTCACCGCGCTTGTCTTTGGCAATCTCTTCTAAACGTCGTTGACCGCGCACACCGCGTTGTACAAAATTGTTTGCCTGCTCAGATTTTTCGTCCTTTTTCTCGTGTTTTGGTGTGTACGGGTATGTAATCACGTGTTCATTTTTTTAATTATTCTTGTAACTACTACATGGATATATGTATGTATAGAGAGCTGCAGTTTGATTCTTTTACACTGCTGACTTGTTGAGAAATGATAATTGGATTAAAAGTACTCTTGGATTCAAGTCTTGGAATTTTCACTAATCTCCTCTTTTTATGGAAAAGCAAGCAGCCCGTGTAGCAATAGTTGGCATTGGCAACAAACGCCTCATCCGGAAATAAAGACCCTTTGTTAGTCCATGCCAGCCGGCAGCCGGCCAACCTGCAACTGCAAGAAGTCACATTATCCACGACTATGCATCTTTGGTTTACACATCTGCAGTACAGGTTTAATTTCTTTTATCAAAACTTGCAGAATACAACCCTAATCAATTGAGTTGTCCTTAGTATCTCGAAACTGTAATTTGTTCCATCCCAAGGTTCACCAGATACCTTTATCGTTCGATCCTGCAAGCATCGAAGACACCATGTGCAGACAACAATAATCGAGTGATTTCCATTGAATATAGCTGGTACAATAATCTTAGAGGCGAGAACGCTTCCATTGCTACGTCAAAATTTAGATTTACAACCGGAAGCAACTAGCCCAACTACAGAGTATAAGCATAGAAAAATATAAGAACAAAAAATAACAGAAGATAAGGCGAGAACGCTGAACATACACAACTAGCTCTTCGGTTGGCATGGATATGCATGCGTACATCACGTTGTTCCAAATTGTTTGCCTGCTTATAATTTTTCTTATTGCTCTTTTTTTTTTCTCATGTTTTGGTCTGTATGGGTATGTAATTATGTGTTCATTTTTTAAATATGAACTTGTGTGTGTGTGTGTGTATGAGAGAGAGAGAGAGAGAGAGAGCTGCAGTTTGGTTCTTTTTATACTGTGTTGAGAAATGCTAATTGGATTAAGAGTATTTTGGATTAAAGTCCTTATTTTTTCACTAATCTCCTCCCTTTATGGGAAAGCCAATGAATGACAGCATCCTATTCCTCCTGCAATGGTCAGCAGCTCGTATACCTAGGCTGTAAGAAGTCACAAGACTATGCATCTTTGATTGTTTATGCACTTGTACATGTTTATTTATTTTTATTAAAACTAGAAGAATATCACCAAATCAATTGAATCGTCCATAGTATCTTGTGACTTTAATCCCAAGGTTTCATCCTAAGGTTCGCCACATGCATTTATCATTTGATCCTACAAGCACCCAAGATCATGTGCAAACATCAATAAAATCGATTGATTCCCATTTAATATAACTGCTACTCGATAGCATGATAAAATAGATTGACATACCCACTAGTGAAATACTAAAATACTAGTAATTATAAGTTCTCGTACATTCATAGCATTCACATACTCGTGCATATATATGTGTATACATAACGGTGGCTGAATAAGCTTCCTAGTAGTCATGTCCATTGTTTCTTGCCACTTTTATTTGCTACATATGGGGAGGGTGACAACTGACAATAGGAGCCTAGTAGTCTACCTCAAGTTGGCATGAGATGAGATATGTTGCAGAGTGTGAGCCATCGGAAATAGAGGCCAAAGTGCCAAACGATGATTGAGGCAATGAGGCATACCTATGGGTGCGTAAGCAGGGGCGGATCCAGCATCATGTTGGATGTAGAGGCCCCCATGTTATTTTAATTTTACTAGAACATCAAGCGCCATAGTGAGTTAAGTGACAAATACTAATCTGACGGACAAATATGGCTAATATATATTATTTATATATTTTTATATGTTCTTTCTTATATGTCTCGTACTTTGCAAATGGAAATCATTACATCTTGCATCTGTATAAAACAACTTCAATTTAAATCATATGCTACCTATTTCATCACTTTGCCACACCTCAATTTAATTCTCTCCCGGTCCCTGCCCTGAGGTTCATAAGATATGCCTTTAATTTGTCATAGTCGCATGACTACTTATTATTTGACAATTATAGAAATATATATTCGAGCTTTGGCATGCGACAAGGACAGGGACAGGAAAAGTCATAAATTGAGTTGTCCTCGGTGTGACAGGTTCGAATATCATTTTGTGCGCCCCACCTCGATGAGGCATGTCGAAAATACACTGTTGATCCATTTATCATCAGTCCATGTGCCTATATAAAGCTCGATCGCCACAATCAACCACTCCTTATCCAGCCAACGCTAAAAATAGAAGACTATACCAGTTGATAGGGGAAACATACATCCCTAGGAGCAACCAAGCAAGCTAGAAATGAGGTGCAGTGTTAATCCATGCAAAGTTCCACCCCAATGCAAAAACCTTTTAGAAATGGGATGCACTAGGAACCCGAACTGTAGAATCTGCGGAATTGGACGCTGCTGCACAAAGCCATCTGGTTCGGTCCGCTTTGGATCGACGTAAGGATGGTTCTGCATCATCACAGTTCTAGTTGAACACACACCCCAAAGCAAAAAAGAAAAAGGTACCAGATGAGCAGTTGAGTGTGCTGAAATTCTCAGATAGGTTTTAGTGGCACTAACTAAAATTTGTCATTTTAGACTTTTCTTCGAGTGAATAATTTTTTTTACTTAAATTATGTTTCTTCGACTCTATTGCAATCTAATTCTTGTGCCCAACATGAAAAGTGCATATGTTGTTGTTGTTAGATAATCTTGGCTCGTTTGGCTCCTAATCACCTGTGGCCGGCCTTAGCTAATTAAACCGGGAGCTTCTTTGATGTTCATGCAGTGGCTCTCCTTTGTTTCCTTGATTTTTTGCTGAGTTGCAGTGGCCATAGCGTGTGGAATGTTCCAAACTCATGGGATGGTGCGGCTGTGGAAGGGCCTCGCGTGCGTGGGTGCTGTGGTGTTCAAAGCCACGATCTTGTATAGTTTCTATTTAAAACAATATAGAGTAATTAAGAGAAAACTCTGCGGTTGTTGCAGCACTAAAATCCGCTTGTGTTTGCATATGTGTTCTTGTGTACATTATAGGGTGATCACCATTGACTCCGGGCCTCTGGTGACAGGCACCGGCAGTGGAGACGTCATATATATGCCCTGCCATGCGAGGTCATCACCATGGCTTGGCCATGTTATTTGCCATCGCAATCGCAACCCTGCCGACCATGTTATTTGCCTGGATATCCACGCCCGTGCTCCTCTACAAACTCTAGATGAACCATAGGTGTGCTGGTTGGAGGATGGTGAAGCATTGAACTCAGAGCACGATTACAATCCGTGCCTTCAAATACTTCACGTTACGACACACATATATATCAGAAACAAAAACCATATTGTACACAACACAAGCTTCAGTTCATTTGCTACATGGAAATTGGAGTCTACAGACATGTGGCTCTACATGGAAATTTTGGTTTAGCATTAGTCCCTACAACGTGTCTACTTGATGCTTCATTACTCTTTCTCCTGTTTTAGCATCGGTAAAAAGCAACATTGTGGCTAGTCTTATGTGATGCAGGGCCGGATCCAGTATCATGTTGGATTTCAAGTAAGCCCCCCATGTTATTTATCTGTTAGATTATTTGATAGTTGCTATTTATATGTCAACATATTTCTTGGGAGTAAACTTGTTAGATTTTTAATTGTTGAATGTAAAATCATCCCGATCTCATTCTCCCAACCTTATCTCCTTCGCCACGGACTCAACCTCTAACCCCACCTCCTCTGCCTCTAGCCCCGGAGCCACCCCCACCACCTCCCGTCCTTCTGACTCCAAACTCTGGCCTCCATCTCTAGCCTCAGTAGCGCACCCCACCTCCTCTGACTCGAGACTCCGGGCATGGCTGGCAAGCTAGAGGATCACACTTTTCGACCACCAAAATAGAGCTCATTCTTTTCTTTTTGGTGTTGCTTGCCATCACAGTGAAGTACTAGCATCAAGGCAAGTTGCTCAATAGATTAAGGGCAAGTCACTCAATAGCATTTTTTTTTGCTGAAGGAAGAGTTTATTGAAAAATCTAAGGATAATACACCGAGTTGATATAAAGTCTTGAAAAACACTTCCGGTCTCTGGCTAACAACTTGAAATATTGTGATGATTTTGATTTCTTCTGCTCGAGCCAAAAGGATGTAACAGATCAACTTGAACTATTTATTATTCATGTGAGAAGACTTGAGGAATTTAGAGTTTGTCGTGATCTTGCAAGCCTGGCAGCAAAAAATGGTCGAACTTGACATACACATTTTATTCCCATTGGTTTATTGTGTAGTTGAGTTGGCATTGCTATTATGGGTGGGAACAACATAGGTTGAAAAGGCCTTTTGCCAATGAAGATTATCAAAACTGAATTATGCAACAAGTTGTTCGATGTTTGGCTTAATGAATTAATGGTCTGCTACATTCAGAGAGAGATTTTCAGAGGAATTAATCTTGAGAAAATTAAGAAAGTATTTCAAAAAAAGAAATATAGGAAAGTGCAATTACCTAGGTCTCCTAGACCTAATTGAAGCTTTATTGTCGCTTGCTTTGTCTCTTTATTTCACTGGCATATTTTCAGTATTCTATCCTTAATTTTTATTTCTTATATAAATATATTATGTATATAATATTTATATGTTCTTGCTTATATGTTTTGTACTCGGGCGAATGGAAATCGTTACATCTTGCATGTATATAAATACAACTTCAATTTAAATTCTATGCTACCTACATTACCTATTTTGACACTTCACCACCCCTCAACTTAATTCATTCCCTGCTCCTGCCCCAACGTGCATGGATATACCTTTTGTCATAGTTGTGTGATTACATATTATTTGACCATTGTACAGAAATATATATATTCGTGCTTTGGCATGCGACAAGCTAAGGACAGAAAAAGACATAAATTGAGTTGTCCTCGGTGTGAGATTCGATTATTATTTTGTGCGCACCACCTTGATGTGTTGTTGAGCCATTTATCAA